GGTTTTCGACGCTGTCTGGCGTTCTTTGTGCCTTGTTCGTTTGTCTGTGTGTGTGCTGTCTGGTACTGTGTGGTGACAGCGCTCTGCTGATGGCCTTTCTGTCTCTCTTTCTGTGTGTGTGTGTGTCTATGTGTGTGTGTTGATTGATCACCATCATTCCGTTTCAGTCTCTGCTGATCTCACCAACCTTCCCCACACACACACACACACACACTTCTCCATCCTACAGCATGATACGGCTTGAACCCGTTCACTCTTATCGACAAACCTGTGTTCAGACACTGCCCGATCCAACGGAAGTTAAAAACACTGAGTCCATGTGGATTTGTGAACTCTCACGCTTTATGCATGCATGAGTCTTTGTGTGTGTGTGTGTGTGTGTGTGTGTGTGTGTGTTTGGAGCTCTGCATTGCAGTAGAACAGACATGGTGAGTTTGTGCATTAAGCATCGTAATCAATGATGTGTGCGGTGGGCAGTCGGCACCCAGCACCCCTCTATGACAGGGTCACGACTCTCACACACCCCCCAGCGCAGGCACAGGGGTCAGAGGTCATTCAGGGCCACTGCCAGACTGATAAAGATGCGTCTGGTGCTCAGAGAGACACAAAGGGCGTGAAATTCTCATTTAATACTTATCAGTTTTTAGCAGCGCATGCGGTTTTATCGCTAATGACCTGCGTGTGTTTGTTGGACTTGATGGATGAAACATGGCATGAGGATAACGTAGAATTTGTCGATGCACGATTTATGTAGAAATGTATTCTGCTCATGTCTCACGAGATCCATCATGTTTCGTTGATGCTGGAGACTTTCAATTAGTTGCATTGTTTTTCATAGTTTTCCTAACCGTGTAGTTTGTTTTGTCATTTTAAATTGCTATTATTATTATTTTTATTTATTCTACAAATTTGTTTAGATGTTTTTGTTTCATCATCTGAGTTTACGTAGCCTAATTGGTTTTATTATTTGGTTTTATCTTTTTGTTGTCATGAATAACTTTGTTACAAAGGATGAATGAAAACAAAGGAAGCGACATTTTTAAACACACAGCCAAGACATTACGCCATAATAATATATGATTAAAATAACAAGCCATGGTCGACCCGAGCGCAAACAGACTTTGTCGTTTTCTTGATGAACAGCCACAAAGTCAAGAAGAATAGCAGACTCTACCCTGTGCCCCATTGTTGTTTTACGCGGTCACCTTAAAGTGCGAATCACTTGCGTTCGCGGCGCGTTCACGTCTATATTTGAAATAAACGAACTTCTTGAGCTGATGAAAGTAACGTGTGCGTGATTATTAAAGTGATGCTGACATCCTCTCAGAAACAGACAAGCGCGAGAGTGACGTGTGAAAAAACAAAGGTGGAAGCCGGAAAAAACAAAGGAGCAAATGATTCTTTTAGCAACCTAAAACATGAACAAACTGCCATGTTTATCATCACCTTTTGGACTATTATAAACTCAGAATGACGGAATTACTCTCTAACAGAGATTCCATGTGCTTGTGAAGTTTAAAGACAGAGATGAGAGGTTTGCACTGACTGTGGGTTATATGTTGCGTGTTGTTTTTGAACCCAAACAAGGACTAAATACATGCTGTGTGTAGTTTTTTTGTAATTGGTAATATATCAGAGACTGTAAGGGGCTGTATGTGTTCATATATGCTGCATTTATTTATTTATTTTATATAATCACAGACGTATAACAACACGTGTATATATACATAATATATGTAGACGTACTGTGTATTTTTCATCATTAATAACTTTGTTTACCTCTTTGATTTGTTCAATATTGCCAGTTGTTTTGTTTGTTTCACTTGTTTTCTTGAACAATTGTATTAGTATATACAGTGCTCAGCAAAAATGAGTACACCCCATTTTGAAAATGAATATTTTTATCCATTACTTAGTGAATGTAGCTCATATATTTCACAAAACAGATTTATAAAACAGAAATATATATAAAATATTATTTTAGTCACCGAATATCTTTAGAGACACATTTAATACATTTAAATTCATGCAAAATATAGAAAAAAATACAAACTTCAAAAAGTTTTGTATGAGCCTTTTTACATGACGATAAAGTAGAAAACGGAAGTCGTCGATTAAGTTCGTGCGCGATTTATGTAGAAATGTATTTTGCTCGTGTCTCACGAGACCCAATACGCTTTGTTCACGTTGCAGACGTTCAACCAGTTGCATGAGGTTGTTTGCGTCGTTTTTTGTTTTTTTTACCATGTATTTTGTTTCGTGTCGTTTTAAATTGCTGTTGTTTTAAATATTGTTTTATTTACTGTTTAAAATGGCTATTTTGGTTTATTTTACAAATTGGTTTCGATGTTTTTATTGTCTCATCATCAGTTTACGTAGCCTTTGTGTTTATTATTTGGTTTTATCTTATCATCAATAACTTTACCTCTTTGATTTGTTCAATATTGCCTGTTGTTTTGTTTATTGTTTTACTTGTTTTCTTAAAAAGCAATTGTATTTGTATATACAGTGCTCAGCAAAAATGAGTGCACCCCATTTTGAAAGTGAGTATTTTGATAAATTTCTCAGTAAATATAGGCAATGTTTCACAAAACAGATTTATTAGTCACCGAATATGTTTAGAAATAGAAAGATAATACTCTTAAATTAATGCGATATATATATATATATATATATATATATATATATATATATATATATATATATAATATATATTTTTTTTATTATTATTATTATTATTATTTTTATTTTTATATTTTATATAAAATAAAATAAAAAAAAATATATATATACCCCATATATATCCCATTTTGAAAATTAATATTTTTATCCGTTTCTTGGTGAATATAGGTCATATATTTCACAAAACAGATTTATTAAACTAATATAAAATATAAACTATATTTTTTAAATAATATTTTAGTCACCGAATATGTTTAGAAATAGAAAGATAATACAATTAAATTCATGCTAAAAAATTACAAACTACAAAATTTTATACATTTTTTTTGCTTCTCTTGAATTTTGCTCTTTTTTTAAATTTGTATTTAATATTTTCCCTAACATATAAATGTGTGCGTACTAATTTTGGACTGCTATCGTAAGTGATTTTGTTAGGTTAGCTCCAGATTTAGCTTCAGCACTGCCTAATCTTATGTAGCTGCACAAATATAATATTGCAAAGCTTCCTATAGAAAATATTAAATTAAATGAGAGATTTGTGAGGGGAGTACTCAAATATGCTGATCAGTATAGTTGGTTTCATCCTCTCGTTTTGTAATTAATACATTTTTTAATCCTTGTTTTGTTCCAAAGAGCTTTCATTAGTATATTATTGTTTAGTGTTGTTAGATATATTATATTGTATACCTGTTTTAATTATTATTTCCTCCTTGTCTTCATATGCATTGCTATTTATTTTTTATTCTTGTTTTGCATAAATTGTCATTGTCTTCCTTATTTTGATGTTTTTTTTTATCTCCGTATACTCTTTTTCGTTTCTGTTTGCACGTCCCCGGATGTCTGCATGTGTTTTGTCGTGGCGTTTGAACACTTTTGCGCAGCTTTGGCGGTGTTGTAGCAGATGACCCTCCTCAATCAGTTGTGGAAATGTTGTCACAATATTGTGACAGACAGATTGTCGTGTGGCTGCACAGAGCGCCGCGGAGAGAGCGAGACGCCATTTCTGGCTGCTGGCTGGCTGCGTTTTTTCCAGCCTTCGGAGAAAGTGAGGGATTGATCAGTGCAGAGGGGAAGCGGAGCTGAGATGAAGAGAGGGAGTGAGGGAGGGAGAGACGGAGGGGAGGGGGGGAGTTTCTCGCTGCAGAATCTGCCGCTCGCTGGCACTCAGTCACACCGAGAGAGCGAGAGCGGCTCTCACAGACGGCCCAGGTACAGGTGCAGAGACACGGGACAGGTGTCCGCACCGCTGGAGGACGAGCGGGTGACCCAGGTGACCGAAGACCTGAAGATGAGCACTGGTCCTGATGAAGAGGAGGAGCGCGTCTCCTTTTGGTCACATCTCAGGATGTTTCGCTTTTCCTTTCTCAAATCCTTTTCTCTTTCTTTCTTTTCTTTTACCTTGAAGATGACAAAGCTGACAGGTTTGAAGGTAGACATTTTGTGTGTGTGTGTGTGTGTGTGTGTGTGTGAGTGTGTGAGTGTGTGTGTGTGTGTGTGTATGTGTGTGTGTGTGAGGCACGTGGCGGCCGCTCTCATTTCCGGGAGTGTCCACACCGTCTGGTCCCTGAGGATGAACGATGCTGCCTGTTTGTAGGGGGAGGAGGAGTCTTCAAGGTGTGTGTGTGTGTGTGTGTGTGTGTGTGTGTGTGTGTGTGTCCGTTAGATGCACGTTACACTGCGTTTGCAGTGTAAATGACATGCATGTTTTGGCTGCCGTGTGCACTATTGGATTTGCTTGCGGTCAGTGTTGTGAGGTTGCATGGTCTCGTCTGTGCTCACAAAGTCACAAAAAAGACAACTTATTGTTAAACGTTATCTGGGGGGGGATCGCAGGCGATGTGCGTCCGGGTGGGTGAGGGAGACCGCTTTTTGTAAATTTTGCCCGGCTCTGATCAATTGCCGCTACACGTTTTTCAGTGTAATGGAGTCAGTGGTGGGAGACGAGACGCAGACAGACACACACGCGCACACACATACAGACATTCATGTCTGAAGCTGCAGTCAGAGGCCAGCGGTTCTGCTCACCAGAGATCCTGAAGATGAGAAACACAGGACAAAGACAAAGACTGACCGTCTGACTGGAAGCTTTTTTCTGACCAACAAAGACTCGACGGACATCTTCAAATCCAAACGCTCCTTCTGGTTTCTTTTTACCTTTTTTGTCTGCTTCTGTGTGCATGGCGTTTGGTGCATGATGTACCTGTGCGTCGCGTAGCTTTAAACTCTGAAATGCGGATTCCTTTTATTTTCATAGGCCGAACAATAAAATCTGAATGCGAGAGGACGTGAATGTGCAGTGTATCTATGTAAGTCACTAACCCGTGCGGCCACCGCTGCACTCCTCCTGGTCCCTGAGACCCTAACTTGTGAGCTTTGTGTGCTAAAAATCACAGGTTAAGCTCTTGGGACCTGGGCAGAGGGCAAAAGCACTGGATCCCCTGGCTGCGTCCTGACAGAGACGCAACGGACGGACGGATGGATGTCTGTGAGAGATATGACCGAAGACAAGGAAGCGGCGCTGATGTGTCTGAATGTTCAATATGTTCACATGTCTGTGATGATGATCATGCTGATGGTTTCTTATGTTCCTAAATAAAAGCCGATGCTATACGTCTGCTCAGATGTTTTTTCTTTGGGGCGAGGGGTGCTGATCGCTCTGTCTGGCTCTGTCTGGTCGCCACTGCAGCTCATCTATAACTGACCTTTATCGCATCGGCGGCGAGAGCAAGGGCCGAGATTATCAGAAGCGATTGATAATTCTGTTCCTTCTCGATTCTTAATGGTGTTTTTACGATGGCGCCCAGCACCTGTACTAATGCAGAACCCGTCTGCTTGGCTTTATCCACCAGATGCAATGTCATTTTTTGTTTAATCCAATAACGTCTGATGCATAGCCAAACAAGACAGAGCGAACATATTGAACCAACATATGCCGACACCTTCATTTACACAAAACAATACACTTATTACCTAGCAGACACACAACTTTGCTGCTAGCAGAACACGATTATTGCGTTTACGATGTCGTCGTGTTGTTTTCTGAGCATTGAGCTTGTGGTTTCAGGGGGTCCGGTTGGGCTTCTTCCTGTTTTAAAGACATTGACTCATAGGGTCTCACGTCTGGCTTTGTTCTTCATCTCCCTGGAGTCTTTAACTTTTGAAAACCTCATTTTGCTAAATTACCCACATTAGAAATGTAGTTGCAAAACAATTGATTTCCTCCTAATGCTCTCTCTCTCACACTTTCTCTCCCTCTCTCTCTAATTATATTTTTCCCTTCTTGGTTTTTACTCTGAACAATGGCGGATGCCAACTAATCAGGCTGGGTCTGTGCCACAAAGCTCCCAGCAACAGCTGAAGCTCTGCCATGCTCTGTGCATACCAAGCAGTGAGCCGCAACCGGCGAGCGCCAGCCTGGTGCCCAACGCGGGGTCAGACAGTTTTATTAGGATCCGTCTGACACTCGGCACAGGCTGGCAGTGCCAACGCACCGATAAAATCTTGTGCTGCTCACACTATTCATCCGAGCTCACATAAATACTCTCTCATCCCACACACACACACACACACATGGTCCATTTCATCAGCTAAATGAGAGAAGGAACAAAGACTCGGGTCTGGCCAGGAATGAAGATTTCGTTATTTAATAAAGGGCCCGACTTCTGAATGGTCCAGCAAGCATCGGGCTCTGATGTCTCAGCCGGTTTCATATTTACATTTTTGGCTGACAGCACATCGGCCTTGTGTGTATCAGAGCAAAAAATGCGTCGTTTTCTGCCTGATAAGAATGACCGGCGTTTTCAGACACGTGTCCAGAAAGATATATTTACAGAAATATTTGAATAGCACTAAATAAAATGTTTGTTCACAGTTGTGTAACTGAACATGCAACGTTTGATCATGAAAATGTACTAGTAAATGTTGCGGTTTGACTACAAAAACAATACGTCAAACTTGATGTAGTTTAACTTGATGTTGGAAAATAACTAAAACTAAACAAGCTACATAAAATTATATAGAAACAAAGAGTAATCTTTATATCTAAATATCATCAATGCTAGTGTCTCCACTTCATCTTACATACCTAGAGTGAAGTCAAACATCAAGATAATTGAATTTACAACAGAATAAATATGGACACCATTTTGCCCTTTTAGCCAATGACTGCTTTGATGGCCAATGTAATAAACCTACACTGTGGCAAGAAGCCAAATCTATTTCTAAACTGTTTTCTAATCCCATTTTAAATTGGATATATCTATAATCTAGATATATTTTTAGAAATATTTGAATGACAAGGTCACACTTTGATAAAGTCTCATTTGTTTACAGTACATAAGTTGCTGGATTAACATGAATAAATATTATAAATCATTTGTTTTTAGAGGTCTTTGTTAGTTTTATAGCTAATTAAAATGTTTGTTTACAGTTGTATTACTAAACATGCAATGTTTGATCATAAAAATGTATTAGTAAATGTTGCGAACTGACTACAATAACAATACAACAAACCTAATGTAGTAAAGTAACTGAAGCTAAACTAAGAACATGAAAATATATAGAAACAAAGATTGTTTACTAATCTTTATATGTAAATATAATTAATGCCAGAATCTCCACTTCATCTTACATACCTAGAGTGAAGTCAAACATTAAGATAATTGAATGTACAACAGAATAAATATGGACACCATTTTGCCATTTTAGCCAAGACTGCTTTGATGGCCAATGTAATAAACCTACACTGTGGCAAGAAGCCAAATCTATTTCTAAACTGTTTTCTAATCTCATTAATAATAGATTAAGAATGACTTTAAGATGTATTATTGTGTCTGAGATGAAAACAACCACTGCATCTCACACTTACAAAACAATACAATCCACAACAACATACATACTACTCAATAATAAATGACTTAACACTGTTAAGATGTTTCTAAACCTATTAAATCTGCACCTCAGCATTCGTAATCTCCTTCCTGATGTTGTGTTGTGTAATTTAACACCTTATATTCCTCTCTTGTAATGCACTGTGTAGCTATATATACAGCTGAAGTCAGAATTATTAGCCCTCCTTTGACTTTTCTTTTTCAAATATTTCACAAACGATGTTTAACAGAGCAAGGACATTTTCACAGTATTTCCTGTGATATTTTTTCTTCTGGAGACAGTCTTATGTGTTTTATTTTGGGTAGAATAAAGGCAGTTTTAAATTAGATATATTAACAGTAATATTTGAATGACAAGGTCACACTTTGATAAAGTCTCATTTGTTGACATAAGTTGCTGGATTAACATGAATAAATATTATAAATCATATGTTTTTAGAGGTCTTTGTTAATGTTATAGCTAATTAAAATGTTTGTTCACAGTTGTATAACTGAACATGCAATGTTTGATCATAAAAATGTATTAGTAAATGATGCGAATTGCATACAATAACAATACGACAAACTTGATGTAGTAAAATAACTGACGCTAAACTCGGAATATGAAGTCAAACATTTTGATCATAAAAATGTATTTGTAAATTTTGCGATATAATCATATAATAAATATTATTATTCACTGTTCGTTCATGCTAACTAATGTAAATAACTAAATAACATTAACAAATCAAACCTTTAAGATCACAAAGCAAAATAAGTGGATCCCAATGAATATGTTGTAGGAAATAATGTGGAAAAATCAAGTGATTTATAAATATTTATTGGTATTTTAGTTTTTTCTTATTATTTTGCAACACCATTTGGATTTACTGCATTATTTTACTGTTTTTAAAGATGTTAGGTGATCACATTCCTCATTTAATGAATATAACTATTTATTAAAACTGTTTTGTTTAAATTATAGGTGCCCAAACGATTTCTTATGAAGGACCAAAAAGCAAATGCCATGGGTAATTTCCTGATTTATTTAATAATATTTAAAAACAAGTAGAAAGCATTGCTTTATATTAACTGATACAGCATTTTCATTTCATAATGAACTTGTTAACAATCTCATCTGCGACAGAATGGAGTTACACTTGTTTTTGCCTTTTTTGCTCACGATTGTCTTCTGCATAGTCCTCTATTCGTCTGAGACATTATTGACTCTACATTTTTTAGAAAAACTGATTTGTTTACATTTATTTGATTTGGAATATCAAAGCTATAGACTATATGTGAATGTGTATACATGTATTCATATGTAGGCCTATGTATGTACATGTATATATGAATGAGTGTGTATGTATACATATGCATGTATGTATATGTGGGCATATATGCGAGAGGAGATCATGTGATCCGGAAGTGTACAAAAAGGAGCACCTGATTGTGATGAACATTGTCTGATGAAGAGCCAGGTGGCTCGAAACGTTACACGCTCTGTGTCAGCCTTTTTAATTTAATAAATTTGCATTTTTGGAGCCTTGGTGTTGCCGCCTTTGATTTACATTTATTTTACATTTTATTGAAACATTTCATTTCAGTTAACTTTTTTTGTAGCTCAGCAATAAAGCAAACAAACAAAAAGGTTACTTTTAAATATATCTTTGTTGGGTGACGCGGTGGTGCAGTAGGTAATGCCGTCGCCTTACAGTAAAAAGGTGTTTCTGTGTGGAGTTTGCATGTTCTCCCCGCGTTAGTGTGGGTTTCCTCCAGGTGCTCCAGTTTCCCTCTTAGTTCAAAGACATGCTGTACAGGTGAATTGGGTAAGCTAAAATGTCCGTAGTGTATTAGTGTGAATGAGTGTGTGTGGGTGTTTCCCAGATATGGGTTGCAGCTGGAAGGTTATCCGCTGCGTAAAACATATGCTGGAAAAGTTGGCGGTTCATTCCGCTGTGGCGACCCCAGATAAATAAAGGGACTAAGTCGAAAAGAAAATGAATGAATGAATGAATGAATGATATCTTTGTTATGGGCATTCGTCCACACCCTCTCCATCTTTCTCATTCTCTTTTCAGATGCAATGGTGGGCCAAATCAAAGGTTACTATGGGCCAACTTTGGTCCGTAAGTCCTATAGTACTTTGGGCGTTTCTGGTTTATTAGGTACACCTTACTAGTAGCGGGTAGACCCCCCTGTTTAGCATCTAGCAGTTGCTGCAGAGTTGTACAATACTTAGGTAGGCTGTGGCATTGACACAATGCTCAATTGGTACTAATGGATCCAAAGCGTGCCAAGAAAATAGCTCATCTGCAGCGTTGAGAGATTCTGCATACCTTGGTTGTAACAAGTGGTTATTTGAGTTACTGTTGTCTTTCTATAAGCTGGAACCAGTCTGGCCATTCTCCTCTAACCTCTGGTATCAACAAGGCATTTACACTTACAGAACTGCCACTCACTGGATATTTTCTCTTCTCAGACCATTCTCTGTAAACCCTGGAGATGGTTGAGCTTGAAAATCCCAGTAGATCAGCAGTTTCTGAAATACATCTGGCACCAACA